AGCATAACTAGGAAGGCTTCTGCAAATGTCTTTAGTCACTTACTTCATGGGATGGCATTTGATAGTGCTGAGGTTGTGCACAGAGGATTTTCCCAAAGGGCTACCCTAAAGTTAAGAGTCAGTTATCCTAGTTTAGTGGAAGATAGTGTTTGTTAGGAGAGCCTGCCACTGCCCTGGTCGAGGATGAGGTGGGGATTTGGAGGGGTGAGGGGTGGGTAAGGATCCTTGGGAGATGTGTATCTGTTACCTTCACTTAGTCTCAGGGTAAGCAAATCTATACCAAAATAAGATAGCCAAGGTTATCTGGATACTGATGTTGATGTGGAAATTGTATTGCAGTGGTGGTAGCCTTACAAGTAATTTTGCAGTGAAATTTGATTCTTATTCTTGTAGTGTGTATATTTGCATCTGTTCATTTTGCTTTTGTGCAAATTAATCATTTTAAATCTGCTTACTGAAAAGTAGATGCTTTTGTGTATGAGCTAGTGTTGGAATTTTTTAAGAGATCTTTTATCATACTTAGAAATAGACATGGAGAAACATTAATTATAATTAGTTTTGATGTGGACATCTATCCAGCTTAGATACTAATGTGAGGTATTTTCTCAGTAACCTTTCCCCTGGAGGTCTATACTTTTATGTTACTAAGTGGCTTTTTACTGCAGCTAAGAAGTGAGGCTGGGAAATTTAAGTGACTTTGTTTGCTCCGTGGAAGAGAAAGGTCAAGAATGAATAAATATTATATTGGCTTGTTTATTCCCTTTCCTCTTGCATAAATTTGTCTTCTAAGGGTGTATTCAAAGTGGCTCACTAAAAATACTAGTTTTGAAAAATAGTTCAGTTTATTAAAGGAAACCAGTATTAATCCTACTATTGGTAGCTTTTACATAAAAATTCAGTCACATCTGAATTTTTTTTTTAACGTTTATTTATTTTTGAGACAGAGAGAGACAGAGCATGAATGGGGGAGGGTCAGAGAGAGGGAGACACAGAATCTGAAACAGGCTCCAGGCTCTGAGCTGTCAGCACAGAGCCTGACGCGGGGCTCAAACTCACGGACCGTGAGATTGTGACCTGAGCCGAAGTCGTTTGCTCAACCGACTGAGCCACCCAGGCGCCCCTACATCTGAATATTTTTATACTGGTGTGAAACCACCAGAGGTATATGATACTTAAACTGCAAACTTGACATTTTTGGATTATGAAAGTAATATTGGTCCATAATTTATAAAATATAGAAAAATATAAAAAGAAAAAAACTCTACAATTTCAGCAAGAGAGAGACATTGTTAACATTTTGCTGTATTTTTAATGAATATACATAAATGGTTTTATATTTATTTGTGATTATACTGTACATGCCTTTGTATTTAGCTTTTAAAAATTAACATTAGGTCTTAGACATTTTCTTACATTACATGACCCTTTTAAGGTAAATTTTGTTTTTAATTAGATTCATAATAAAAGTAGAGACATCAAAATTATATCTATTTATAACATCTAGGTATTATTAGAGATGAAGTCCAAGATTTGGTGTGGGTGGGGGGTGAGGGGGGAGGCAGGAGGTTGAGAGAGGTTGGGAAGTTAGAGTGTTTGAGGATGGGAATAGGTAACAGATATTTTTTCCTTTTCCCACCCCTGAACATTTTTAATTAAGGGGAAAAGGAAAAAAGATTTTTCCACAGGATTCTTAAAAAATGCTTTTTAGGCCAGCATATCATTATATATAAACTATATAATAATAACTTTATAACCAAAGTAAGGTATTTATGATGGATTATATTCTCAAACCAGTAAAATTACTTTAGAGCTGCAGGTGGCATTTAAAAAATATTTTATAATTGACTTATAAGAAATTTTCAATCCACTGTAGTTTTTCAAGTTACTGTGTTAAAGTGAAGCTGCCTTCCTGAAGAGTAAGCATATAGGGGCACCTGGGTGGCTCACGTGGTTGAGCATCCCACTCTTACTTTTGACTCAGGTCATGATCTGACAGTTTGTGGGATTGAGCCCCATTTTGGCTCCAGGATGATCATGGAACCTGTTCGAGATTCTCCCATTCTCTCCCTCTGCCCCTCTCCCGAACTTGCGTACTCTCTCTCTCTTAAAAAAAAAAAGAGTACATAATATTATGTAAAAAAGCACAAATATAAATGCTTAAAAATGTAAGAAAGGTATATGCTACAGTAAAATGCTAAAGCAGTAAAGATTATTTCCATATACAGTAATGGAGATTTTAAATGTCAGATCAATCTTGGTCTATAGACTATAAAAATATTGAACCAGTACAGAAACTTAGGTGGTATTCTAACAAAAACCATTTATTAGGTCAGTTTGAGGCTACTATTAATATTTACTTATAGTTTAAATACAGGGTGAAGCTTTTCACAGCATGTTAAAAGAACATAAAATCCTTTCTTTCTCTTAACCTCAGGCACATTTTCCAATAGTTTCTCCCAGGTACTAGAAACTTTGTGATAGTTATAAATCATTGTTTAATTAATCATCTGGAATGTGCTAGCATTATACTAGATTGTGGAACCTCAAAGAAAGGTGAAACATTGGTTTTGTCCTTCAGCAGCTTATTATTTAGAGGTAACTATAATAGAGGTATGGTAATAGCTCTGGTATTCCATACCAGATAACCATGGTATGGAAGGGCACTCAAGGAAGAAGAAATAGCTTAGGCAAAAGGCACAGGGACATTGAAGTATATTGTGTCTTGGAGAAAGAAGATGGTGTATTGAGGCTGGGGCACTGGTGAATATAAGGAAAAGAGGGTAGTAGAAGAGAAAGGATAACGTGGGGCCCAGAATTAAAGGTTCTAATGGACCTTGCAGGCAGTTTTACTTTATCCCACAGATAAGAGGGAGCCATTATGTATTTTATAGCAGAGTAACTAAAGAACTCTTCTTTACAATGAATTGTTTTCTTAAGAAAGTTGGACATTTGTAATAGGAAGAAACAAAGGCAGAAAAATAAAGCATGAGTCAAGGAAAGGACAATGAAAACTAGCATGTATTTATTGAGGGCCAATGCCAGGTGCATATCTAAAACAATATCTTCATTTTGAGTATGGTTCAGTTAATAGTATAGGCAAGGTTAAAAATTTAGGCATGAAAAAATATTAGGCATTCTGGGAAATTAATGATAAAATACTAGTGGAGCTTACCATTACGAATCTATGATCACATAGACTCCTGGAATTTACGCACAAGAAGAGTTTCATGATCATCTATTGTGTTGGCCCTTTTAAAGGAACTTTTTAAAGAAAGCAGCATGATAGTAGTTGCACTTTTAGATTAATCAGTTGGTTGAGAAAATATAAGTAAAAATCAGTTATTAAAAGCATTGTTCAATGTTTTATTTAATCACCGAAGCATCTACATGTATTTAAGAAATAGTGGTGTACCTTGTGAAAGTTTAATCTGTAGACACTTTGTATAGTTTAGTGATTAAGAGCTCAGACTCTAGAATCAGAACCTAGTTTGAATCCATCACCTGTTAACTGTAACTTTGGACAAGTATTTGCCCATCTGTGCCTCAGTTTTCTCATTTGTAAAATGTGATTAACAATAGTACCTACTTCATAGGTCAGTCATATGGATTATAAATGAATTCATGTATGTAAGGAGCCTGGACCAATACCTAGCACATTATAAGGGCTATTGTAGACATCCTTGTTTTGTATAAGTCGTGTGTAATTCAGAACCTTCTAAGTTTTTCTTTTGTTGTTCTTAGATTCTTACTCTGATGAATGATTGTTGGGGTCTTTGAACGGTATGTTAGTAAAAAGATATTATTTTTAGGGGTGCATGAATGGTTCTCCATATCCAGAATAGACAAAGCTTTTAGAGGTGGAAAGTAGATTGGTGGTTGCCTAGGGCTGGGGATATTGGGAAGGAAATAGAGAGTGACTTGCTAGTGGGTATGGGGTTTCTTTTTGGGGCAATGAAAATGTTCTCAAAGAAATTGTGATGGTTGCACAGCTCTGTAAAGGTACTAAAAACCATTGAATTGTACACTTTAAATGGGTGAGTTGTTCAGTATATTTATCTTAGTAAAGCTGTTCTAGAAAATGAATAAAATTATTGCTATATATGAAGGAGACTTAGGGAAGGGAGGTGGTTGTAATGGTACTGGCGATGCTTGATGAGGAAGGCCTCACTGAGAAGGTTATGGTTGAGCAAAGACTTGAAAGAGATGAGGGATTGAGCCATATGGATACCTGGGGGGAGAACTTTCTAGGAAGAAGGGGTAATCAGTGGAAGATCTTGAGAGGAACATGTTGGAGGAGCAGCAGTGAGGCCTAGAGTGGCTGAGCAAGGGAGAGTGCAGTAGGAAACGAAGTTGAGAGATATAGGGCACCGTGAGGACTTTTTATAGAAAGGGAGATGGGGAGTCAATGCAGAGTTTTGAGTAGAGGAGTGACTCATCTGACACAGGTTTTTAACAGTGGCTGATGTGCTGAAAATAAACTGTAGGTAGCCTGGGTGGAAGCAGGGAAACCAGTTAGAAGGCAGCAATCCAGGAGGAGATAATAGTGACCTGGACCAAGGTAGAGGGAAAAAAATGGTCAGTTTGAATATATTCTGAAGGAAGAAGCAGTAAGATTTGCTGACAGATGGAGATGAGATGTGAGAGAAAGAGAAGAGTCAAAGAAGATGCTGCTCTTTTTGGCCAGAGAAACTGAGGGGGAAGATTGAAGATAAAGCAGATTTGGGGGGTGGAAATGCCAGGAGTTCTGTTTTTGACATGTTCAAGAAGTTCATCGGACATCGAAGGACAGATTTGAGTAAGCAAATTGGATTTTAAAACCTGGAGTCTAGGGAAGAAATCCTCAAGTAAAGACCGTATTTAAAGCTAGGATTCCTCCAATCCACCAACATAATATGCTGAATAAGATGAGACTTTATTTTCCCTTAAGGTAATCTTTTAAAAATTGTTAACCTTCCCCTCTCTCCAAAGATAATAAATATGTTAATTTTCTTGTATTTCAGGATCTTCAAGATGAAGTTCAAAGGGAGAATACTAATCTGCAAAAATTACAGGCCCAGAAACAGCAAGTACAGGAACTCCTTGATGGACTGGATGAGCAGAAATCCCAGCTTGAGGAGCAACTGAAGGAAGTTAGAAAGAAATGCGCTGAGGAGGCCCAGCTGGTAAAGTGGCCATTTGCTGCTGTCTGTATCCATACCTTGGTTGCTTTTCCTGGTGTAAGATGGGAACATGCTTTGCTTATTATTGTTGTTGCTGTTGTTGTTAGGTGGCAATCTAATCAACAGTTGGGGCACATGAAGGAGTTCGAGCACTGTTCATTCGGAAATTACAGGCCCTCTTTAGGGGAAAGAAGGCCCTTAATGTACTACTTTTCTAAATTTTAGCTGGAAGTATGGTACCTATACCTTCAAGTTCCCTCTATTCATCCCCTAATTGCCCTTTTCTACCAAAAATATAAACTTCAAAAAACACCACAATAGTAAACTAAACAAATAAACATATTTGCATTATGGAACATTTTAATGACATCTCTTTTTTATCTCTCTTTCTTCTCATTCACTTCCATGTGATAGATCTCATCCCTGAAAGCTGAATTGACTAGTCAAGAATCACAGATCTCCACTTACGAGGAAGAGCTGGCCAAAGCTAGGGAGGAGCTGAGTCGCTTACAGCAAGAAACGGCAGAATTGGAGGAGAGTGTGGAGTCAGGGAAGGCTCAGCTCGGACCTCTTCAGCAGCACCTCCAAGATTCACAACAGGAAATCAGTTCAGTAAGTCTTTGTGACAGCGAGAAACATGCTCAAACAGGGCCTCACCATATCCTCTTAGTGAATAATACTTGTGTTCCTTTACCCTCTGCCTAGTTTTTCATTTTTCATTCATTTTGTACAAATAGGTTTCTTGTTGCCTGTCATAAATTAAGACTGTTATACATCGTGTATCTGATTATTATCATTGGAGTCCTGGTTAAGAGTATGGGTTTTGTAGTTACATGGTTTAGGTTTAAGTGCTGTCTCTGCCACTTAACTGTGTGAATTACCTTAGTATCAGATTCCTTATCTTTACAATTAGAAAATTAACAGTACTTCTACCTTTTAGGTCTGTTGTAAGGATTAAATGCAATGTAAAGGTTTAAATAACTGTGAGACATTTTAGCGTAGTGTTTGGTACATAAATGCTTGCTAACTGTTGCTTATTTTTGTAAATAACAAAATTTACAAAATTGGGATTCTGATCTTAAAACCAGTTTTGCTCATTTGGAGACCTTTATTTTTTTTATTAGAAAATTGTTCTTTGTATAGATAAATGTGCCATGTTGTGTGAGTCCAGAGTATAGACCTTTTGCTTTGTTTTTTTCTGGGCTTCCCTATGTGGAAAATAATCTGTTGTAGAATGGTAGTAAGATGGTTAGTTAGGAGCAGAGAGATCATGTAGCTCATTCCTTTCATTTTGAATTTGAACCAACTAAAGCCAAGGAACATTAAGCAACTCACCTATGGTTACATAGCCTTTAAAAAGGAGCCACAGCCTAGAATCCAGATCTTCTAACATGTAGTCCAGTGTTCTCAGTTAATTATTATGTATAATGAAGCCCTACCCTTAATATATTTCCTTCCCCTCTCTTGTAGGTGAATACCTACTCACTCATCTTGCAAGACATAGCTTACTTCTTATTTCTTTATAGCATTTTCTGAACCCTGCCTTTATTGGACTCTACTTCTGTTACGGCATTCGTAACATTTTCCCCTAAATATTTGTTTCTGTGTCTGTCTCCCCAAGCAGACTGAGCTTTTTGGTCTAGAAACTTACACATTTTTTTCTCTCATCATTTAGCGTAGTTCTTATCCCAGTATAGGTACTCAATATACAAGTAACCCAAAAGAATGCTATCCTAGTGAGACTGCTACCAACTGAATGAATATTCTTTAAAATAATTTTCTTCTTTGAGTTTTTTTTTAAATTGGTTTTTTGAGGTATAATTTACATACCATAAAATTCACAGCTTTTAAGGGTACATACAATTCAGTGATTTTCAGTAAATTTAGAATTGTTCAAACATCACAATCCAGTTTTAGAACATCTCTATCACTCCTAAAAGATCCCTTGTGCCCATCTGTGTGAGTCCCCACTTCTACCCCTAAGTAATTACTAATCTGCTTTCTATTTCTATAGATTTGCCTTTTTGAGCACTTCATGTAGATGAAATCAAACACTATGCAGCCTTTTTCATGTGGTTTCCTTCACACGCATAATGTTTTCGAGGCTCATCTGTGTTGTAGCATGTATCAACATTTATTTCATTGTGTATTTATAAAGTATTTTGTTTATCTATTCACTGATTAATGGGCATTTGGATTCTTTCTGCTTTTTGGCTATTATGAATAATGCTGCTATGAACATTTGCATACAATTCTTCATATGGACATGTGTTTTCCTTTCTCTTGGATATGGAATAGTTGGTTATATTGTGAAGTTCTGTTTAAATTTTTTTTTTAATTTTTTTTTTTTTTTTTTAACTTTAGGAGCACCTGGGTGGCTCTGTTGGTTAAGTGTCCGACTTTGGCTCAGGGCATGATCTCGCAGATCATAAGTTCGAGCCCCACAGTGGGCTCTGTGCTGATGGCTCAGAGCCTGGAGCCTGCTTCAGATTCTGTGACTCCTTCTCTCTCTGTCCCTCCCCACTTGGGCTCTGTCTCTCTCAAAAACAAATAAACATTAAAAAAAATTTTTTTAAACTTTAAATTGCCAAACTGTTTTCCAAAGTCACTGTACCATTTCACATTCCCACTAGCAATATATGAGGGTTCCAGTTTCTCCACAATGTTAACAACACTTTATTGCCTACCTAACTGATTATAATTGTTCCAGTGTGTGTGAAGTGGTGTCCCATAGTTTCTAATTTGCATTTTTCTAATGACTAGTGATGTTAAGCATCTTTTCATGTGCTTATTAGCCATTCGTAAATCCTCTTGGATGAAATGTCTGTGTAAGTCTTTTGACCATTTTAAAAAATTGGATTGTCTATTATGAAATTACAAGCATTTAAAAAAATATATTTTGGATATAGGTTCTTTATCAGATATTTGATTGGCAAATAATTTCTCCCCATATCTTGCTTGTCTTTTCATTTTCTTTGAGGTTTTTGAAAGCAGATTTTTTTCAAAGGAAGGAACATAAATGAGAAAAGTAGAAAGGACTCTGGATATTATAAATTATTACCGAGAAAATAAAAACAGTATTTATGAGCAAGGAAAATAATCTCAGCAAAATATTCTACCAAGTGTGCCAGAAGATATTTGGGATCTATGGAAGGAATTATATCCTTGCATCTGATCTCCAAACCTTAAAAACAAACATACCAGGGCACCTGTCTGGCGCAGTCAGTAGAGCATGGGACTCTTGATCTTGGGGTCATAAGTTCAAGCCCCATGTTGGGTGTAGAGTTTACTTAAAAAATAAAAGTAATTAAAAAATAAATAAAAAAGGAAAGAACAAACATAGCAATTTCTTACATTTGACTGAGTGACTTGTGTCTTTCCCACGAAGGGCAGTATTTTCCCATGGACCTATAAAAATGAAAATCCAGTTGTAAATTTTCCTGAGGTTTTAATTGCCCTCTAAAGCCAGACAGCTTTTCTGGTAAAAGGAATAATTGAAGAAAAATGTTCTGATTTGCTGAATTTTCATCTTCTTACCTTGTATTTATGGTAAGAAAAAGCAAAGAACCTCTGGCTTTAAGTCTATGTATATTACTTACATGATATATACTATTTTAATCCATGTGTTTCTGGCATTCTGATAGAGCTTGTGTTAGTTGTGTGATTTTTTTTCTCTATATCCTCTAAGTTTATGCAGAGACTAAGGAAGAAGAGAGTTGCGTGAGAGAGCGAGACATGGGAAAGCCTAGTTTTGTTCAAGATTTTATTGTCTCAGAAGTAATTATAAGGAATAAATGTCCTACATAGAACTCTTTGATTGGCAAGTATTTCCACATACTGCTTCATCTATATGATAGGTATTTAAGGTTTGAAATTTTTTTTATTTATTCATTCATTCATTTATTTTTAAGTTTTTTATTTAAGTCACTTCTACACCCAACATGGGGCTCGAACTCACAACCCTGAGATCAAGAGTCACATGCTTTTCCAACTGAGCTAGTTAAGTACCCCAAGGTTTTAAATTTTAGACTGTAAAGGTGTAGTGGGTATTGAAATTTATTTAATGGTCATGATAAAATTCTTTTAAAAAATGAAATAAAGCAAGAGTGTCCTGAAGCATTCAAAGCTTTTGAGTCTTTGGTGCTGCTAATCACTGAGGTGTTCATTATTTCAGACTCCATGAAGCCGACCCAACTTGACATCCACTGATAACTGGAAGCGAATAAATGTCATCTTATCGCTCCTCAAATGCTTGCAGCCTGATGTGTTAAAATAATTTTGTGAGCTTTAGGAGGTTCAGTCAGGAACAAGAAAAAAGTCAGAAATGGGAAAATATAGAGGAGATATTGGGCAGCTCTGAAGCAGATGGACAAGGGGAGAGCTGTGCCTCTGGTCCCCACGGAAAATATCTCCCTGGCCTGTATAGTCAGTGATTGTGCCCAACTCAGTGAGAAACACTGCCTTACCCATAAACATAAAATTGTTTTATCCAAATAGCATAAAATTGTTTTATACATGCACATTTGTTCTCCTCATATACATTGCAAGTATTTAATGTATAAAAGATCAAATTAACTGTTGTTAATAATGGAGCACTACACTATGTACATTTGTAAAAATAGAAAGTGAGAAGTCTGATAATTCTACCTCCTGGAGAAAAACAATGTTTGCAGTATGGTATCTTTTTAGAATTCTGTCTGCACATGGAAGCACCTGTCTTTGTGTGCCTGTGCATTCATATATATACTTATACCGATTGTTTTTGTTTAGAAAAAATAAAGACATACTTTGTATTTGAAAAAATGAATACAAATAAAAATGAAATAAGACAGAATAGGAAACATCAGGGTGCATTACATGGCATAAGGATAAGTACTATCATGAAATTTTTTCACAATTGTATGTGTATGTATGTGTGTGTGCACGTGTGTAAATTATTTATATGGATCAGTGTATCTATATATATGTGTTTATGTACATGCATATTCAAATAAATACATATATATTTACTGGGTTAGGGTGTAAAATCTATTTCTTTCTATGGATTAATAAAAAAATATTTATAAGCCACAACTCAATAGCACTAGGAATATACAAGGCATATGCTATGTGTTACAAATGTGTAGTATTTTGGATTGTTAGTTTAAATTCTCAATACAGTACAGTTTGGTAGATACATATGCTTACTGATAACCCACTGTTTAAATTTATAAACACAATACTTGTGTCCATTCAGTGAACATAAAAGCACTTACGGTGTACATCATTGTGCTAGATGTTGGACATACAAAGTTGATGGCAAAAGTTGTGGTCCCTGCCCACAAAGAGATCAAGGTCTTTAACTTTTTAAATATGGAATGAATTAGTGGAAAAGAAATAGGAAAATTTAATTGGTATAATAGTGAGAAATGCAGTGTGCTAGGCACTTTATACTCAATGTCCACTGTTTACACAGACCTTTACATTTTACAGAGTTTTTTCAAAAATTTCTGCTTCACTTAATCATCTGTGGAGATAGTTCTTACTTTATGGGTTGAGAAATGGAAGCTTGGAGACTAAACTTTGACTAAGAGAGTTGAAGGTGATAGAGCTTGATTGACATCTGTCTCCCAGTCCAAAATAGTGTTCCTTTCTCAGCTGATGACCCTGAAAAGACCTTTGGTAAATTACAGATTCCAAAATGAGCAACTTAAAAACCTTATGCAGAAAATAAGGTTAGGGGAATTGAGACTTGATTTATGAAATGCTAATAGGTAATTTTTATGATTCCTAAGACAAAACAAAACCACACAACATGCTAATAAATAAAGGGAATTCCAATGTAGCGTAAAAAATATATTTTATGAAAAATGGGCACTATTCAGTAAAATTCCATTCATTACTTCTTTTCACTAGAAACATATTTTTTAAATGTTTTTAATGTTTATTTATATCTGAAGGAGAGAGATACAGAGCATGAGTGGGGAGGGGCAGAGAGAGAGAGGGAGGGAGACACAGAATCTGAAGCAGGCTCCAGGTTCCAAGCTGTCAGCACAGAGCCCGATGCGGGGCTTGAACTCACAAACCATGAGAGCATGACCTAAGCCAAAGTTGGACACACAACTGTCTGAACCATCCAGGCACCCCAACTAGAAACATATTTTGATTCTGACCTCTCTTCAGTTTCTTTGAGATGTTTGTTAATTTATTTTTCTTTATTATAGTTGTTGGTATCAATAAGCATTTTTTTCCTGCTTCTGGTCCCAATCTTTTTCTTTCAATACTGAATATTACAGCTTATTGAATTCTGCCTCTGTGTCCCCCTATTGTCCCAGAAATATAAAGTCACTTGGATACTGAAATCCAAAATACTTTGTCCTTTATTTAACATGTTTAGAATAGCTTAGATTTAGAGACCATTCCTAGGACTCTAGCCCATTAATAAATAATGCCAGAGCATAGGACAGTAGTTCATTTTACCTTCGTCTTCACTCCTTTCCTTCCCAATAGGAGTGTAGATGGCTCCAAACCCTTGTGTGCTCTCCCTCAACTTCCTTTATTTCTCCCAAGCTTCATCACAAAATCTTCTCTTGCTCTCTTACTTTGCTATCTTTTTCCCAATACCCTGACATTTTCCCCAATTATACCTAAAGGACACCAAAATGCAGATATTTGAATCAAAATTCTTGAAACTTTCAAAAGATGCACAAAAGCAAATCCATATATACTGGAATTTCAGGAGAACTCTCTAGGATGGATTACTGAAATCTCTCTAAGTCATACTGCATCCCCAGAGGATTCTCCTTAATGGAAGCAAATTTATCTTTGACTCAGTCTAAGGGTATAGCTATTTCTCTGTTGTGAGTCTTTCTAGTAATAAATTCTGTTTTGTATTTCTACTTTGTGTTGACAGATGCAGATGAAACTGATGGAGATGAAAGAGCTGGAAAACCATAATAATCAGTTAAATTGGTGCAGTAGCCCACACAGCATTCTTGTAAATGGTGCTACAGATTATTGCAGCCTCAGCACCAGCAGCAGTGAAACAGCTAACCTTAATGAGCATGCTGAAGGCCAAGGCAACCTGGAGTCTGAGCCCATACACCAGGAATCTCCAGTGAGTCTAATAGTTACATAACCTCCATAATCAACTTCAGAAGAAGAAAAGTTTTTGTTGACATCATACTTAATATAAATATGTGGCCTTGCCTCATCTAAGGACGGTTGAATTTTTTTTTTTCCCTCTAAGAGGCAGACAGTAGGTATTGATTCAACAGTTCTAACAGTTTTAATTAGTGTAAAATATAATTTCAATCAATTAATTATAAAGTGTGTTTTCAAAACAGTTCTATAGATAGCAACTGTATAAAACATTTTTTAAGTACTCTCACCCGATGCTGAAAGTAATTCTTTATTTCATAATGTTGAGGACATTTATTTACCAGCTGTTTAGAGAGCACCAGCTATGTGCAGCAGTGCTGCTGTATTATGTGTGAGAGCTGCAGACACAAAAGACTTTAGCCCTGCCTTTAAGTAGCATACAGTCTAGTAGTGTTACACTGTGTTAAAGGGCTGTGATAAAGGAAGCACAGGATATTTAGGAAGGACAGCTTGGAGGGGGCTCAAGATTTTGTAGAGAAAGGTATACAGGTGAGCTTCAGAGTAAGAAGGGTTAAGTAAGGAAGAAGGTGCTATGTTCATGGCAGAGAAAACAGCATTTGCATAGGTATGAGATGGGAGAAAACATGCCTCATGGGGTCACAAGTTCTTGAAGGCCATCTTGTGATGGTGGGGAGAGTATTGATAGGAGATGAGGCTTTCTTATAGTGGCTACCTGCATTACCTCTTTCTTAAAATGGAGATGTCTGCACCCCATTCCAAACTTGCTGAACTAGAGTTTCTGGAATGGTGCCAGGTACATATATTTTTACAAAAAAAATTCCACAAGTGATTATGATGTGTACCTGGATAAAAATGACCACTTTTAGGTTACAAAGGGCTAGAGAGTAAGAAATTTGGATTCATCTTGAAGCATTGGGTGATTTATTTTATTGCACTGGGTAGCCACTGAAGAATTATAAGCAAGAAGTGACATGATTGTATTTACCTTTTAGAAAATGTAGAAAATGGATTCAGGAGTGGGACTGGACACATAGATTTGTTAAGAAACTATCGGAATGGTCTGTGTGATACTGTTTTAGCCTAAACTTAAGCAGTAATTGGAGGAATGATGATGAGAAGAATACAAGCTTGAGAAATATAAAAGATATAAAATTAACAAACTGATTTTTATTTAGGCATTGCAATCTTGGATTCATTATATAATATTCTTTTAAGTACAAAAGGCAGATTACTCGGTTATCCTTCAAAAACATAGGGTGATATGAATTGGAGATTTCTGCCACTTCTTAAGCCCTTTTACCTACTGGTCAAAATCCAGAAAGCAATGGGAAACCACTGAAGAAAGTTTAACCAGAAGGGTCATGATCAGACTCACATTTTAGATCTATTATTTTGGCTACTATAAGAAGGATTGATTGGAAGGGCACATATTGGAAGCAGGAAGTCATTTGGAAGGTTTTTACAGTGAGCTGGAGACCAGAATGATGATACTATAAATGGATGATAGTGACAGTGAGGATGGAAAGGAATGGATTTGAGAAGAAGGTAGGGGGTTGACTCAGCAAGACTTGGAAGCTAGCTGGGGGATGACCGAAGGGAAGTAGTTAAGGATGACCTGAAGTTTTCTGGCCTGATTGACTTCGATACTTGATGATACCATATTCCTAAGAAAGCTTTTAAGAGAAGAACTCATTTAATGAATATGTTCTGCTTGTCTTTTGTATTTTTTAGTATGTTTTGGTTATCCTTTGTTAGTTTCCTATGACAAATAGAAAATACATTGTTAGTCCATGTAACATTAATATTTTGTAGGCAAGAAGTAGTCCTGAAATACTGCCTTCTGGTGTGACTGATGACAACGAAGCGGTGACTACAGCTGTTAGTGAGAAAGTTTGTTCTGAATTTAATAGTGACAGACATTCAAAAGAGGTAAAAAATAATTTTATATGTAAGTGTTCTTTTACTGGTTTTTCTGGATGGGTTATATACTGTTTTAGGCTAAGGAAAGAAAAATGTGTTAAGTGAACTTTATGACTATAGAAATATTTGTTATATTACCTTTCATTGATTTTTCATAGCATGTTATTATATTTTAAAATGTTGCATCTTAAAACTGGTTCCTAAAACAATATTTTTTAATTTAAAATTATTTTTAGGGAGATCCATTTAATGTAGAATCAAGTTCACTGCCTGATCCAGTTGCAGATACAAACTTGGATTTTTTCCAGTCTGATCCTTTTATTGGCAGTAAGTACTCTTATTTTTATATTATGGGTTTACCAGAAAAAAAGGCTTTTTAATATATAAACTGTATAAGAATTTCATATATAAATTATATAAGAATTAGTTTTGAGAGCCTACTTATTACAACAAAAATAGAGGGGAGTAGAGATGTGATATGTTTGTACTTGCTGTATTTGTCCTCTTCAGGCAACTAACTCGTGGGACTAAGCCACGGATTATGTCTTACGAGCCTCTGATTAAGAGCATTTTTCTTCTTCAGAATAAGAATCAAAAGAAAGAGATATTATGGACCAGGAGAAGAGATTAGGTACTCTTAAGTCAACCAGCAATTTTTACTACTAAAGTGCCCACACCGTGCTTTTAAAACAGTGGAATCTATAGCAATTAGAAGCCTGATCCCTGCTCTTAAGGTGCCTAATGTGTTATTGAAGAAATATATATAAGTTTAATAATTTAAAATACCTTATATTAATGTAAACTGTGTTATATACCACTGTGTCAAAGCTCTTTTTGCAATTTATTTCCAAATCAGTTTGTGAAACTGATAGGTCAGTTTACAACAGTTTTATTTTTATTTATTATTACTTTTTAAGTTTATTTATTTATTTAGAGAAAGAGGGGCAAGGAGGGACAGAGAGGGGGAGAAAGGATCCCAAGCAGGCTCCCCACTGTAAGTGCAGAGCCCAACATGGGGTCCAATCCCACAAACCATGAGATCATGGCCTGAGCCAAAATCAAGTTGGACGCCCAACCGACTGAGCCACCCAGGCCCCCTAAGTTTTTATTTCAAATCCAATTAGTTAATATACAGTGTAATATTAGTTTCAGGTGTAGAATTTAGTGATTCATCACTTATGTACAACACCTGGTGCTCATCACAAGTACCCTCCTTAGTCCCCATCACCTATTTAACCTATCCCCCTGACTACCTCCCACTGATAGTTGGTTGCTCTATAGTTAGAGCAAAGGCAGCTAGGTGAGAAACTGAGTTAACACAAGGGTTGAAGGGGAGGTGAGGAGAGGTGGAGTGATGATGAGATGAAAGGAGGAGCACCTACTAATGAGCATCTGGGTAAAGCTATGGAAAACCAATTTGTAAAAATTTCATATATAAATTAAAAAAAAAAAAGAGTCTTTTTCTTGGTTTGCCTCTCATTGTTTTCCCCTATAATAGTTTGTTTTGTTTCTTAAATTCCACATATGAGTGAAATCATATGGTGTTGGTCTTTCTTTGACTTATTTTGCACTCTCTTGTTCCATCCACATTGTTGCAAATGGCAAGATTTCATTCTTTTTGATGGCTGAATAATATCCATGATACATATACATACATACCACACCTTTACACATCCATCAGTCGATGGACATTTGGGCTGTTTCCCTAGTTTGGCTATTGTAGATATTGCTGCTGTAAACATCGGGGTACATGTACCCATTTGAATTACTATTTTTGTATTCTTTGGGTAAAGTTCTTTTTTTTTTTAATTTTTTGAGGAACCTCCATACTGCTTTCCAGAGTGGCTTCATCAGTTTGCATTCCCACCATCAGTGCAAGAGGCTTCCCCTTTCTCCACATCCTCGCCAACACCTGTTTCTTGTGTTTTTACTTGTAGCCATTCTGACAAGTGTGAGGAGATAACGCCTTGTAGTTTTGATTTATATTTCCCTGATCATGAGTGATGTTGAGCATCTTCCATGTGTCTCTTAGCCAGGTGTATGTCTTCTTTGGAAAAATGTCTATTCATGTGTTCTTCCCACTCTTTAATTGGATTATTTTTGGGGGGTGTTGAGTTTTATAAGTTCTTTATAGATTGTGGATACAACCCTTCATCGGATATGTCATTTACAAGTATCTTTTGTGGAGCATATTTCTATGTCCTTATGGGCCATTTGTCTACCTTCTTTGGAGAAATTTTATTCAAATAATTTGCCCATTTTTTATTGTTTCTCTTTTTATTGTTGACTTCTAAGTGTTCTTCACATATTCTGAATACAAGTCCCTTATCAAATATATAATTTGCAAATACTTTCTTGTATTTTGCATTGTCTTAATTTTGATCAAGTCCTACTTATCTGTATTTTCTTTCATCACTTGTGCTTTTGATGTCATATCTAAGATCCAAAGTCATTAAGATTTACTCTTAAGTTTTCTTCTAAGAGTTTTATGGTTTTAGCTGTTACATGTCTTTGATCTATTTTTAGTTAATTTTGGTGTATGGTATGAGATAGGGGTCCAACTTTATTCTTTTGCATGTGGCTGTCCAGTTGTCCCAGCATCATTTGTTGAAAAGACTGTTTTCTCCGTGGAATTTTCTTGGCACTCTTGTCAAATAACAAATGACCATAAATGTAAGGGTTTGTTTCTGGACTCTTTAGTTCTAGAAGAATTATTTTTTACTTCAGTGAAGCTTAGTGTCTTTGTTTCTGAACTGGTGATGATAATACCCATCCAGTACTCTTGTGAAGAGTAGAGAATTTTGTTAGTAAAATTATTGCTGTTGTGCCTGTCTTTTCCCTTCTGTCTGTAACTTCAACTTGTGATCAAGAGTTAAGTATAATTGACTCCAGTTAAAATTAGCCTCTTTTATGAGGTATGTTAATGTTCTGCCTTTACTCTTTATTATTTTGAGTGTTTCCTAAAGGTGAATGGCATTTAGTGTTTTATCTACTTTGAGGTGGAGTTAATGAAACAGACTTTGCTTTAACAAAATTTGCTTTTGTTTAAAGTTACTTTTAAGTAATGATGTCACACAGTAAATATTGTTATTGTGATTCCTACTTATTTATTTTATCACAGGTGATCCTTTTAAGGATGATCCTTTTGGGAAAATTGGTGAGTGTATTATTGAGGTCCAACTTAGCTATAATTTGATTCTACTTGATTATAAACTTATGTTGTATTTAGAAATGAGAGATCAAAGTTAGGTAGTTATAGTAAGTGGGCTTCTTTTTTATTCAATTTTTAAACGGTTATAAGGCCCCACTAAGATATTGTAGGTGCCTGGCATTTTTAGAAAGAAAGTGGTAGATGCTTGTGAATTTGCTTAATGAACTGTTAGCATTACTTTTTTTTAATTTTTTTTTATAATTTTTTTTTTCAACGTTTATTTATTTTTTGGGGACAGAGAGAGACAGAGCATGAACGGGGGAGGGGCAGAGAGAGAGGGAGACACAGAATCGGAAACAGGCTCCAGGCTCTGAGCCATCAGCCCAGAGCCTGACGCGGGGCTCGAACTCACGGACCGCGAGATCGTGACCTGGCTGAAGTCGGACGCTTAACCAACTGCGCCACCCAGGCGCCCCAGCATTACTTTTTAAAAAATAACATTAATGTTTATATTTTGATGCTTTTAATAATACTTAGACTGATTTTTCCTTGTTCACCAAGGATTAGATGAGTATAGTGATCTGCACTACTACAGGGTTTAGAACATTTTGTTTTCCTAAGATTACAGTGTATGAATGGGGGGAAAGAAAACATCTTAAAGAATTACTAAATATCAGGCTTTATAATATATTCTTTCCCTGGGATTTTACATTAGAATTAAAGCAAATCTTGTGTACCATTTGGTTATGCTTCCCAAACCTGTTCCAAATAAGTTTATTAGTTGAAAGACTGTATTTTTTAACCAAATCACAAAGGAATTTGTGATTCCCACTCCCCTAAAATTAGAATCACCTGCTTAGAGGAATTACTTAAACCTAGCATACAGGTAACCTTTGTGTAGTAAGTGTTGGCATTGTTGATTTGCTTTGGGTGAATGATGAACAAATAGGAAAAAGAATATTAATTCAAGCTATTTAACTAGGTGCAACTGTCTATATTTTTTTTATAATCAATAATTGGAATCCAAACTACCTATTTTAGATTCTGCAGAAGTTAAAAATATCTTTTTATTAAGTCAATTATCATACCTTCAAGTGACAGGAAATTTAGTGTAGTAGTTTTTAGTCTTTCATGTATGTGCTGTGTTTTCTTAGATCCATTTGGAGGTGATCCTTTCAAAGGTTCAGATCCATTTGCATCTGACTGTTTCTTCAAGCAGTCCTCTACTGATCCTTTTGCCACTTCAAGTACCGACCCTTTCAGCGCAGCCAACAATGGCAGTAATACTTCGGTAAGTGGGTGGGTTAAAAATTGTTAAATGGATAACAAGTGCCCTAAGTGAGTTTTTGAAATACACAGTGATGAAAGGATCCTCTTTTAGATTACTTCTGATGGGCTATGTAAAAAATCAGTCTCATCCAATCCATCTAGTTTTGGGTTCAGACTGGCATTTCACAGTTTTATCACACAGTGGAATTGTCTGGAGTAACTTATTTCATTGAAAAATCAAGTCCATCCTTCATAAGGCTCAAATATCCCCATTTAAATATCCCATTAGGGATATTTAAAATAAATGATTGGAAAGCCATAAACCAGTCTTCAATAAAGCTTTTCAGAAATGTGTGGTATGCATTATTGAAATAATGAAAATCAACCTAAAAACAACAGCACTGATCTTTTAGAAAACTAAAATTATTGATATTACTTTATAGACATATTTTATATATGTTTTATAACACATTAATCTTGTAAAGAAATACAAATTCCCACTAAATGTCAGACTCTCTTGAGAACATATATACAAGTAACAGTCACTATTTAATAACCACATACTGTGATCCCAGTTCTTCTGTGTGCTATACATTCATTTTTTCTAATCATCAGCCTTGCAAAGTAGGTGTTGGTAGCCCTATTTTAACAATAAGGACACTGGAACTCAGAAGTAACCAAGGTCATACAGCTAAGTGCTTTATCATCTGGAGCCTTTAAAAACAAAATCTTTATATTATAGTTATTTAAACATACCCAAGATAGAGTAATATAATGAAATATTTTAATAAGCCTCCATGTATCCATCACCCAGATTCAATAATTATGAATGGTTTTGGATTTTTTTTTGTTTTTATTTTTAGTTTTTATTTGGAGGCTTATTTTTTTTAAGGATGATATTTCTTATCCAAAAGTAAAACAGACCCAAAAAGGAACAGTTGATTGACAGGCATTTGAAAAAAAAAATTGTGTCTCTTTAATTCTCTTAGATTAAGAATACTCCCTTAAAAGAGTAATTGATTCTTTTAAAGTAATAGATTTTGATATTCTTTAATTGTTTTCTTTCTGTACTGAGTAAAGAGCTATTTGGCCAATAACTGGTATTTTCCATTGATGTAAAACTGAGCAAGTGCCTCTGTAACTGAATATTTGTGGTTTCCACAGGCTACTGGATACTGTGTTTTCCTATAACACTTAGTTTGCAATGTGGACCCATTTGCCAAATTCTTCTAAAATTGGCTGCAACCTGAATTTTTTTCCTCTTACCTTATTCTAGTCTCTTATTCGCTCTTTTTTTATTTTTTTAAGTTTATTTTATTTTGAGAGACAGAGCACAAGCAGGGGAGGGGCAG